TGTCTCTTCTATCCAGTGACAGTGCTGTCTCTTCTCCCAGTGACAGTGCTGTCTCTTCTTCCAGTGACAGTGCTGTCTCTTCTTCCAGTGACAGTGCTGTCTTCTCTCCCAGTGACAGTGCTGTCTTCTCTCCCAGTGACAGTACTGTCTCCTCTCCCAGTGCTGTCTTCTCTCCCAGTGACAGTACTGTCTCTTCTCCCAGTGACAGTGCTATTTTCTCTTCCAGTGACAGTGCTACCTTCTCTCCCAGTGACAGTGCTGTCTTCTCTCCCAGTGACAGTGCTGTCTTCTTTCTGTTGAACACACCTGTCAGCAGGACAGTCCCGTTCTCTCATCTGATGATGCAACAATCCAGATGAGCTGCCAGACAGTTCTCCACACTGTGAGATGTGTCCTGACTACTACAGCAACTACAAACAAAACATGCTTTTAGAAAATATAAAATAAATACTTGAAATCAAATGTTCATCTTGGTCAAGATGCCAGACACCCAGCTAAACACCAGTGAGTGCCCATGAATCAATCCTTGAGCCGTGACACAGACTTGACAAATGCAGATCACATGAGTAATGATAGCTCAGCCCCAACGACTGTCCACGCTGGGGTAGAAGAGGAAAGACTACTGACTGACTGCCCAGCAGACTTGGCTGGCGTCTACCATGAGGGCATGTTACATCTGTGGCCTGGCCACCCGTGGCACCAGGATATACTGTCCTTGAGGATGCATGGCTGGTAGGACATGCTGGGCCATGTGCATACCTGGCACCATGCCTGACATACCAGACTGCACCTGCGCAGCCTGAGCTTGGGCTGCCTGCACCGCCTGAGCTTGGGCTGCCTGCACAGCTTGAACCTGAGCCACCTGCGCAGCCTGAATCTGGGCTGCCTGCACAGCCTGAACTTGGGCTGCTTGTGCAGCCTGAACTTGGGCTGCCTGGGCCGCTTGGATCTGGGCTGCCTGTGCAGCCTGGATCTGGGCTGCTTGTACCTGTGAAGCCATCACATGAGCCATGTACTGAGAGCCGCTGACTGTCAGACCAGAGTGAGCGGTGACTGGCACCTGGTGCATGCCCCCTGGGGAGAACAACACGTGGTGAGGCATTGCTCCGGCCGACATCGTGGCTTGGTGTGGCATGGCAATCATTTGAGCCCCGGTTTGATACGACATTGGTGCAGCCATTGCGTAGGCCATCTGACCATTGGGCAGCTGTACCAACTGTGGCTGTCCGGCTGAGGTCATGAACTGCAGGTTCTGGAGCTGACTAGGATGCAGGCCTGGGTGAGCCGCGTGCAGCAAATGAGAGGCTGGCATCAAGCCGTAAGACGATGGCTGGGTGGCCAGTGGGTGGTGCTGAACCATCATGGTTGGCTGCTGCATCAACGTCTGCTGTGTCGCTGGCATCAAGATTGTTGCCCCTTCTTCAAAATGCAAGGCTCCGTTATCTTCTACAGCCAGCAGCGCTGCCTTCTCCATCTCCTCCCGCTCAGCTGACAACTTGGCCTCATACTCTTTCTTCTTAGCTGTTGCTTCTTCATCATCGTCATCACTGCTTTCAGGCTCCCCCTTTGCCTGGTGCTCCTGTTTCCTCTGCTGCTTGCGTGCATGTTTCCTGGCTTGCTCCTAACATAGACAAACAATGGCAGAATGTTTACAAACCAACTTTTCTACGCTGACAAATACCACATCAATAAATTAACAACACGGCTTCATAAACTCCCTGTGTGGGTTTCCGACCTTATATTGATGGGAAGGGGATGTCCAAATGGCAAAATAATATTTTGGAAGCAACCACGTTGTTAGGATGAAAAGTCAAAATCAATGTTGGTCCATCACTGGTGGAGTTGCGTTTGGTGGGGAAAACATCTCTCCTGGAGATGGTTAAAACTTTGTGTTCAGAGAATCTTGTAGAATGTGTTCTGGATAGAAACAGGCACCAAAGAAATCAAGACGTTATACTGAGTTATCAAAGACGTCAGAATCATCAGAGCACAACCTTCGCAGTCGGAGGAGCTGTGAGTACAGAATAAAAATTTTACAAGATACTGGGTGAGATGACATATAAAGGAGATAACTGAGAATTTTGTTGTTTTGTGGATGTTTTTCTGCTTTCCCGTTTCGTTAAGCTTTTTAGTCACATCTCACTGGAATTGCTTGACATGAGTTTGACTGCAGTCACCCCCATATTTTCACCCTAATGATGAAGTCAGCCATTACTGAGGGCATTTCAGGCAGCTCTCTGTGAGAAGGAAGTACAGCTGTCACCCTCCACACAATGTCTTTTGTTGTTTTGTGGATGTTTTTCTGCTTTCCCGTTTCGTTAAGCTTTTTAGTCACATCTCACTGGAATTGCTTGACATGAGTTTGACTGCAGTCACCCCCATATTTTCACCCTAATGATGAAGTCAGCCATTACTGAGGGCATTTCAGGCAGCTCTCTGTGAGAAGGAAGTACAGCTGTCACCCTCCACACAATGTCTTCTCTCAACTTAGCCCCTTACAGTTCGGCGAAGCCAGAAAACATCAGGTGGTGTTCTGCATGATGAGCCAGTCATGTTTGGTCAAGAAACCTGGTATCAGTGAGTCAACAATTGATGGGTAAGTGATCTTGATGAGCCAGTGGATTATTGTTTAGTCAAGATAACTGGTATCTGTATGTCAAGAACAAAACAGATTTGTTGTTGTTGAGTATCCAGAAACCATGAGTTGTAAACTCTCTGGCTCGGTATTATGAATATGGCAACCCTTTGGCTTGATTCCATGAAAGGTACTGTAAATCTGGGAGAAATGTGGCTTTACTGCCTGCCACCAGGCGTGAACCCACACTACAAAGAGTTTGTCACCCGGTCGCCTCGCAGAGGGTTTTAACCAACTGCGCTAGCGAGCCAGGCTAAAGAGACAGATAAATGGCACAGCTGAAACTAGCACAATGATCAATAGAACCATCACCCAGGCCAGCCTACAAGTGCCAGACACATACAGAAAACTATCCCAGGCCAGCCTACAAGTGACAGACAAATACAGAAAACTATCCCAGGCCAGCCTACAAGTGCCAGACAAATACAGAAAACTACCCCAGGCCAGCCTACAAGTGCCAGACACATACAGAAAACTACCCCAGGCCAGCCTACAAGTGCCAGACACATACAGAAAACTATCCCAGGCCAGCCTACAAGTGCCAGACACATACAGAAAACTATCCCAGGCCAGCCTACAAGTGCCAGACACATACAGAAAACTATCCCAGGCCAGCCTACAAGTGCCAGACACATACAGAAAACTATCCCAGGCCAGCCTACAAGTGCCAGACACATACAGAAAACTACCCCAGGCCAGCCTACAAGTGCCAGACACATACAGAAAACTACCCCAGGCCAGACTACAAGTGCCAGACACATACAGAAAACTATCCCAGGCCAGCCTACAAGTGCCAGACACATACAGAAAACTATCCCAGGCCAGCCTACAAGTGCCAGACACATACAGAAAACTACCCCAGGCCAGCCTACAAGTGCCAGAACACATACAGAAAAACTATCTCAGGCCAGCCTACAAGTGCCAGGGACACATACAGAAAACTATCCCAGGCCAGCCTACAAGTGCCAGACACATACAGAAAACTATCCCAGGCCAGCCTACAAGTGCCAGACAAATACAGAAAACTATCCCAGGCCAGCCTACAAGTGCCAGACACATACAGAAAACTACCCCAGGCCAGCCTACAAGTGCCAGACACATACAGAAAACTATCCCAGGCCAGACTACAAGTGCCAGACACATAAAGAAAACTATCCCAGGCCAGCCTACAAGTGCCAGACACATACAGAAAACTATCCCAGGCCAGCCTACAAGTGCCAGACACATACAGAAAAACTATCCCAGGCCAGCCTACAAGTGCCAGACACATACAGAAAACTATCCCAGGCCAGCCTACAAGTGCCAGACACATACAGAAAACTATCCCAGGCCAGCCTACAAGTGCCAGACACATACAGAAAACTATCCCAGGCCAGCCTACAAGTGCCAGACACATACAGAAAACTACCCCAGGCCAGCCTACAAGTGCCAGACACATACAGAAAACTACCCCAGGCCAGACTACAAGTGCCAGACACATACAGAAAAACTATCCCAGGCCAGCCTACAAGTGCCAGACACATACAGAAAACTATCCCAGGCCAGCCTACAAGTGCCAGACACATACAGAAAACTATCCCAGGCCAGCCTACAAGTGCCAGACACATACAGAAAACTACCCCAGGCCAGCCTACAAGTGCCAGACACATACAGAAAACTATCCCAGGCCAGCCTACAAGTGCCAGACACATACAGAAAACTAACCCAGGCCAGCCTACAAGTGCCAGACACATACAGAAAACTATCCCAGGCCAGCCTACAAGTGCCAGACACATACAGAAAACTATCCCAGGCCAGCCTACAAGTGCCAGACAAATACAGAAAACTACCCCAGGCCAGACTACAAGTGTCAGACACATACAGAAAACTACCCCAGGCCAGCCTACAAGTGCCAGACACATACAGAAAACTACCCCAGGCCAGCCTACAAGTGCCAGACAAATACAGAAAACTACCCCAGGCCAGCCTACAAGTGCCAGACAAATACAGAAAACTACCCCAGGCCAGACTACAAGTGTCAGACACATACAGAAAACTACCCCAGGCCAGACTACAAGTGCCAGACACATACAGAAAACTATCCCAGGCCAGCCTACAAGTGCCAGACACATACAGAAAACTATCCCAGGCCAGCCTACAAGTGCCAGACAAATACAGAAAACTACCCCAGGCCAGCCTACAAGTGCCAGACAAATACAGAAAACTACCACAGGCCAGACTACAAGTGTCAGACACATACAGAAAACTACCCCAGGCCAGCCTACAAGTGCCAGACACATACAGAAAACTACCCCAGGCCAGCCTACAAGTGCCAGACAAATACAGAAAACTACCCCAGGCCAGCCTACAAGTGCCAGACAAATACAGAAAACTACCCCAGGCCAGACTACAAGTGTCAGACACATACAGAAAACTACCCCAGGCCAGACTACAAGTGCCAGACACATACAGAAAACTATCCCAGGCCAGCCTACAAGTGCCAGACACATACAGAAAACTATCCCAGGCCAGCCTACAAGTGCCAGACACATACAGAAAACTACCCCAGGCCAGCCTACAAGTGCCAGACACATACAGAAAACTATCCCAGGCCAGCCTACAAGTGCCAGACACATACAGAAAACTACCCCAGGCCAGCCTACAAGTGCCAGACACATACAGAAAACTATCCCAGGCCAGCCTACAGTGCCAGACACATACAGAAAACTATCCCAGGCCAGCCTACAAGTGCCAGACACATACAGAAAACTATCCCAGGCCAGACTACAAGTGCCAGACAAATACAGAAAACTATCCCAGGCCAGACTACAAGTGCAAGACAAATACAGAAAACTATCCCAGGCCAGCCTACAAGTGCCAGACAAATACAGAAAACTATCCCAGGCCAGCCTACAAGTGCCAGACACATACAGAAAAACTATCCCAGGCCAGGCCTACAAGTGCCAGACACATACAGAAAACTACCCCAGGCCAGCCTACAAGTGCCAGACACATACAGAAAACTATCCCAGGCCAGCCTACAAGTGCCAGACACATACAGAAAACTATCCCAGGCCAGCCTACAAGTGCCAGAAAAATACAGAAAACTATCCCAGGCCAGACTACAAGTGCCAGACAAATACAGAAAACTATCCCAGGCCAGACTACAAGTGCCAGACAAATACAGAAAACTATCCCAGGCCAGCCTAGAAGTGCCAGACAAATACAGAAAACTATCCCAGGCCAGCCTACAAGTGCCAGACACATACAGAAAACTATCCCAGGCCAGCCTACAAGTGCCAGACACATACAGAAAACTATCCCAGGCCAGCCTACAAGTGCCAGACACACACAGAAAACTATCCCAGGCCAGCCTACAAGTGCCAGACACATACAGAAAACGATGACAAGAGGCTACACCCTGGTATCAGTGAGACAACAAAAGAAGTGTGTCAAGGAAAAATCCTGTCTGGTCAAGAAACTCAGTAACCAAGTGTCAACAATGAGCCACTATGTTGCTGATGATCTGGTATGACACAGTATCAGTTTTCTCTTGACCAAACACAATCATTCCTGTGCTTTATAATCTTCACATGTGGCTGCCTGCAAATGTTGGCCAATAACAGGCCTGAGCCAACAGAAAATATGTCAAGCATGGACTGCCTTTCTGAAAGGCAAACAGGGACAGCAGCAGTGAGAGAGAAGGAGAGATCCACTGAAGTCTTGAAAGCAGCAGAGAAAGGGAGGAACAAAGAAAGACACAACAAGTCTTTAAAGCAGCAACAGAAAAAGAGAGAGAGAGAGAGGGAAAGAGAGAGAGAGAGAGAGAGAGAGAGAGAGAGAGAGAGGGAGAGAGAGAGAGAGAGAGAGAGAGAGAGAGAGAGAGAGAGAGAGAGAGAGAGAGAGACAGAGAGAGAGAGAGAGAGAATAGATCAGTCAATTTCCTGTGCCAATATCTCAATTATGTAAAGGGAACAGTTTCCTGTAAAAACCTCTCTATAATGTAAAGCAAACAGCCAGTTTCCTGTAAAAACATCTCTATAATGTAAAGCAAACAGCCAGTTTCCTGTAAAAACATCTCTATAATGTAAAGCAAACAGCCAGTTTCCTGTAAAAACATCTCTATAATGTAAAGCAAACACCCTTTTTCCTGTATCATCTCTATAATGTAAAGCAAACAGTCAGTTTCCTGTATCATCTCTATAATGTAAAGCAAACAGCCAGTTTCCTGTAAAAATGTCTCTATAATGTAAAGCAAACAGCCAGTTTCCTGTAAAAACATCTCTATAATGTAAAGCAAACAGCCAGTTTCCTGTAAAAACATCTCTATAATGTAAAGCAAACAGCCAGTTTCCTGTAAAAACATCTCTATAATGTAAAGCGAAATCTCTATAATGTAAAGCGAAATCTCTATAATGTAAAGCAAACACCCTTTTTCCTGTATCATCTCTATAATGTAAAGCAAACAGTCAGTTTCCTGTATCATCTCTATAATGTAAAGCAAACAGCCAGTTTCCTGTAAAAACCTCTCTATAATGTAAAGCAAACAGCCAGTTTCCTGTATCATCTCTATAATGTAAAAGCAAACAGCCAGTTCGTTCCTGTAAAAAAACCTCTCTATAATGTAAAGCAAACAACCAGTTTCCTGTAAAAACATCTCTATAATGTAAAGCAAACAGCCAGTTTCCTGTAAAAACATCTCTATAATGTAAAGCAAACACCCTTTTTCCTGTATCATCTCTATAATGTAAAGCAAACAGTCAGTTTCCTGTATCATCTCTATAATGTAAAGCAAACAGCCAGTTTCCTGTAAAAACCTCTCTATAATGTAAAGCAAACAGCCAGTTTCCTGTATCATCTCTATAATGTAAAGCAAACAGCCAGTTTCCTGTAAAAACCTCTCTATAATGTAAAGCAAACAGCCAGTTTCCTGTAAAAACATCTCTATAATGTAAAGCAAACAGCCAGTTTCCTGTAAAAACATCTCTATAATGTAAAGCAAACAGCCAGTTTCCTGTAAAAACATCTCTACAATGTAAAGCAAACAGCCAGTTTCCTGTATCATCTCTATAATGTAAAGCAAACAGTCAGTTTCCTGTAAAAACCTCTCTATAATGTAAAGCAAACAGCCAGTTTCCTGTAAAAACCTCTCTATAATGTAAAGCAAACAGCCAGTTTCCTGTATCATCTCTATAATGTAAAGCAAACAGCCAGTTTCCTGTAAAAACCTCTCTATAATGTAAAGCAAACAGCCAGTTTCCTGTAAAAACATCTCTATAATGTAAAGCAAACAGCCAGTTTCCTGTAAAAACATCTCTATAATGTAAAGCAAACAGCCAGTTTCCTGTAAAAACATCTCTATAATGTAAAGCAAACAGCCAGTTTCCTGTATCATCTCTATAATGTAAAGCAAACAGCCAGTTTCCTGTAAAAACCTCTCTATAATGTAAAGCAAACAGTCAGTTTCCTGTAAAAACATCTCTATAATGTAAAAAGCAAAACAGTCAGGTTCCTGTATCATCTCTATAATGTAAAGCAAACAGTCAGTTTCCTGTAAAAACTCTCTATAATGTAAAGCAAACAGCCAGTTTTCCTGTATCATCTCTATAATGTAAAGCAGAAAAACAGCCAGTTTCCTGTAAAAACCTCTCTATAATGTAAAGCAAACAGTCAGTTTCCTGTAAAAACATCTCTATAATGTAAAGCAAACAGCCAGTTTCCTGTAAAAACGTCTCTATAATGTAAAGCAAACAGCCAGTTTCCTGTAAAAACCTCTCTATAATGTAAAGCAAACAGTCAGTTTTCTGTATCATCTCTATAATGTAAAGCAAACAGCCAGTTTCCTGTAAAAACCTCTCTATAATGTAAAGCAAACAGCCAGTTTCCTGTATAAACATCTCTATAATGTAAAGCAAACAGCCAGTTTCCTGTAAAAACATCTCTATAATGTAAAGCGAAATCTCTATAATGTAAAGCGAAATCTCTATAATGTAAAGCAAACACACCCTTATTCTGTATCATCTCTATAATGTAAAGCAAACAGTCAGTTTCCTGTATCATCTCTATAATGTAAAGCAAACAGCCAGTTTCCTGTAAAAACCTCTCTATAATGTAAAGCAAACAGCCAGTTTCCTGTAAAAACATCTCTATAATGTAAAGCAAACAGCCAGTTTCCTGTAAAAACATCTCTATAATGTAAAGCAAACACCCTTTTTCCTGTATCATCTCTATAATGTAAAGCAAACAGTCAGTTTCCTGTATCATCTCTATAATGTAAAGCAAACAGCCAGTTTCCTGTAAAAACCTCTCTATAATGTAAAGCAAACAGGCCAGTTTCCTGTATTCATCTCTATAATGTAAAAGCAAACAGCCAGTTTCCTGTAAAAACCTCTCTATAATGTAAAGCAAACAGCCAGTTTCCTGTAAAAACATCTCTATAATGTAAAGCAAACAGCCAGTTTCCTGTAAAAACATCTCTATAATGTAAAGCAAACAGTCAGTTTCCTGTAAAAACATCTCTATAATGTAAAGCAAACAGTCAGTTTCCTGTATCATCTCTATAATGTAAAGCAAACAGTCAGTTTCCTGTAAAAACCTCTCTATAATGTAAAGCAAACAGTCAGTTTCCTGTATCATCTCTATAATGTAAAGCAAACAGTCAGTTTCCTGTAAAAACCTCTCTATAATGTAAAGCAAACAGCCAGTTTCCTGTATCATCTCTATAATGTAAAGCAAACAGCCAGTTTCCTGTAAAAACCTCTCTGTAATGTAAAGCAAACAGTCAGTTTCCTGTAAAAACATCTCTATAATGTAAAGCAAACAGCCAGTTTCCTGTAAAAACGTCTCTATAATGTAAAGCAAACAGCCAGTTTCCTGTAAAAACCTCTCTATAATGTAAAGCAAACAGTCAGTTTTCTGTATCATCTCTATAATGTAAAGCAAACAGCCAGTTTCCTGTAAAAACCTCTCTATAATGTAAAGCAAACAGCCAGTTTCCTGTATCATCTCTATAATGTGAAGCAAAAGCCAGTTTCCTGTAAAAACCTCTCTATAATGTAAAGCAAACAGCCAGTTTCCTGTATCATCTCTATAATGTAAAGCAAACAGCCAGTTTCCTGTAAAAACATCTCTATAATGTAAAGCAAACAGCCCGTTTCCTGTAAAAACCTCTCTATAATGTAAAGCAAACAGCCAGTTTTCTGTATCATCTCTATAATGTGAAGCAAAAGCCAGTTTCCTGTAAAAACCTCTCTATAATGTAAAGCAAACAGCCAGTTTCCTGTATCATCTCTATAATGTAAAGCAAACAGCCAGTTTCCTGTAAAAACCTCTCTATAATGTAAAGCAAACAGCCAGTTTCCTGTAAAAACCTCTCTATAATGTAAAGCAAACAGCCAGTTTCCTGTATCATCTCTATAATGTGAAGCAAAAGCCAGTTTCCTGTAAAAACGTCTCTATAATGTAAAGCAAACAGCCAGTTTCCTGTAAAAACCTCTCTATAATGTAAAGCAAACAGCCAGTTTCCTGTATCATCTCTATAATGTAAAGCGAACAGCCAGTTTCCTGTAAAAACGTCTCTATAATGTAAAGCAAACAGTCAGTTTAATGTATCATCTCTATAATGTAAAGCGAACAGCCAGTTTCCTGTATCATCTCTATAATGTAAAGCAAACAGCCAGTTTCCTGTAAAAACCTCTCTATAATGTGAAGCAAAAGCCAGTTTCCTGTAAAAACCTCTCTATAATGTAAATGTAAAGTGAACAGCCAGCGTTTCCTGTACTGATATTTCTACAAAATTAGAAACTGCAGCACTCACCCGAAGTTTTCTGTACTGTTCAGCCTGCTCTGGAGGAATCAACGGTGTCATTGGCTTGATTTCCTCCTTCTTCTCTTCCTCCTTCTTTGGGGGAGGTGGTGGTTTTGGAGTGGGTGGTTTGGGGGGAGGTAATGGAGGAGGTGGGGCCACCACGTCCGCTATCTGAGCTGCACTGGCTGCAGTTGCTGTGGATGGTGGCAATGATGAAGTGGATGGAACAAAGTTGGGAGGGGGCTGGCTGAAGTTTGGCAGGGGATTACAGAAACTGGGGTCCCCTGTGTTAGGGGGCACAACAGCTGGTCGCTGAGGCAGGTATTGGTCATCCCTGGGGGGAGGCGGCCCCATTCGAGGCCTGGGTCCACCTGGGGGTTGAGAACCTTGTCTAGGCATTGGTGACTGCATACGTGCAGGAGGTCCTAGTCTGGGTCGTGGTCCCGCAGGTCCCCCATGTCCGGCCTGCCCCATCATACCTGGCCCTGGTGGCCCCCTCATCCCCTGTGGTCGCATTGGTCCTGGAGGGCCGTATGGTGATCCTCTGGGTGGACCGTACGGTGATCCCCTGGGGGGACCCCTCATGACAGGAGGTCCCAGTGGTCCACCTGGACCTCCTTGTGGTCTGTGACCTCGTGGCCCCATTGGTGATCTAGGCCCCCTAGAACCTACTGGCCCATTAGGACCCATCCGAGATGACGGGCCCCCCATGTTAGGTCTCGGAGGTCCGTAACCACGATCATTTGGTGCAAACATCTGAGGCGGGCCCCTGGGGCCTTGTGGTGGTGGCCTTCTGGGATAATATGTGTTGGGACCAGGATGTCGTTGGTGCAGATGAGGAGGATACGGCTCGTTCCCAAAGCCATATTCATCGTTTCTCTCATCGTACAAGTAATCGTAGTCTGCTCCATAAAACTCATAGCCAGCATCCTCGTGGAAGGAGTGGTCCATGCCAGGGTGGTAGCCCATGTTGTTGAAGTGTGGCTCGTATCGTTGCTCTTCTCTCTGCATATTATGATCAGGGTGGTCACCAAAATGATTGGCTGACCGAGCCGGCGGCCCCATGTAGTGCTCCGAGTTTCCTGCGTCCATTCTGGCATTCCCTACTCTAGAATTAGCCAGATTCTGTGGTCGAGGAGGCAGAGACATGGTATTAGCCTCAAAAGAAGACTCATTATTGCCCCTGCTCTCAGATTTGTTCTTGTCCCCCATATTCGGAGCAAATAAATTCTGTCCTCCATTTACCTTTTTGGCTTTCTCAGGGGATGATAATGTGGCTGTAGAAGGATGTTTGTTGTCAATAGAGTTACCAACTGAAGGGTTGTTGATGGCACCACTGCCACCATTACCTTGTCCAGTGCTGGTGGTCCCGGTCACTGGAGCTGCAATGACAGTTGTCACCGATGAGGGCAACACAAGGGGAGCAAACAACTGCTTGATGATGTCCAGTCCATCTGGGTGATGGTTCTTGACTTGTTTATGTGGCAATGGAGAGCGAGGCCTGCGGGAGGTTAGTGAAGCTCTGCTGCGACAACAGCGCCACCTCCACAAAGATCTGGCTTCCTGCTTATAGCGGCAGGGTTCTTGTGATGACCAGTTACCATCAATGTAGTCAGAGTCACAAGACTGGCCTCTGTTTGAGTCTACGGGTGAGTGGGATCTTGATCGTGATGATCCACCTGAGGAGCTGTTGGATCGCACCCTATAACGATGATGAGCTGGACACCAGTCAACTATCTGCCAAGATCGGCTGGATCTTGTCCAAATACTGATTGCTCTGGTCTTGCTACTGGCTCGCCTGCTAATTTGTGACCTAGTTCTCTTGTTACTATGGTGACAGCCATTACCTGCAAGATTGTCAGCTAAATGTCGTGGTTGATATCGTGAGTGAAACTTCTCAGCAACTGGCCTCCTCCTGGCAGCACTAGTGGAGATGCTAGCTCGTTTACCCGGTGTAGTTTTATACAAGCCCTCCATCCTAGCCCACAAGTCTGGCTCCACACTCACCCGCAAGTCTGACAGTGTCTCCAGCTGCAGAGAGCTCCCCACCTGCCATGCCTGAAGCTCTGTGTTTGCCCTCACAAACAGGACTTGTGTCTAAGACTGCAGATGCCACCAAACACTCTGCTTGCCTTTCATTCCCCAGTTCTCTCCGGTCAACATGGAGATGATATGTGCCGCTTTCACCTGAAAGGACATTTGTATCAACTGTATCGCCCATTAGTATGAGCCTTCCCTGTGTCAGCATTAATCTGTCTTCAGTAGCTAAGTTGTTGGAGCTATAGTTTTCTTCCACTCTGGCTTGTTTAGATATATCAACACTGATCACATCCAAAGGAAACAAAGCAGACTGGCCAAGCTTGCGTTTGTGTTGTCTCCTCTCCATGACAGACAGATAACCATGAGCCTCTGTGTTCTCCAGCTCACAATCTGACTTCTGAGGTAGCATTGCATCTGTTGTCTGATTGGTTGGTGCCCTGGCCAATGTGATGTCTGTACCTGGTTGCCCTCTAGTACACCCAGTGTGGCAGCTCCCTAGCTCTGTGAGCTCCCGAGGGTCAGGCTGGGCTCGGGCCATTGAATTCAAGCAACATCGGTCACAAACATGTCCCAGCTGACACCAGCATGTCACTGCACTGCCTCCAGTGATCTCAGCTGACTTATCATTGCCCCTTTCTGAATTATTAGTTGGGTCATAACTAGCATTCACCTGTATGCAGTTGCTTAAACTACCACTGGTTGTCGTCGATGCTGCTGCTGCTGAAGTAAACACTGCAGCTGTGCTATCCTCAAACCTGAAAAAGTACAGTAAGACACATGTGACTTCAGCACAGCAAAGAGGTTGGACAATATCCTAAGACACATTTGACTTCAGCACAGCAAAGAGGTTGGACAATATCCTAAGACACATGTGACTTCAGCACAGCAAAGAGGTTGGACAATATCCTAAGACACATTTGACTTCAGCACAGCAAAGAGGTTGGACAATATCCTAAGACACATTTGACTTCAGCACAGCAAAGAGGTTGGACAATATCCTAAGACAAAGATGTGCAAGAGCAAGATCTCTCTAACCTCATACAACTATCTATTCACGGTGTCTTCTCCTCAAATGTACATGCATGTTTTTGTTTCCAATTAGTTTTTTTTTCCTCATAACACTACAATCTATATCATATCTATGTGGCTACCATATCATACTTCACTACAATCTCAGATCTTTGTGGCTAAAATCTCACTAACCCACATCTCATACTTCACTACAATCTATCTCAGATCTGTGTTGTGTGCAATCCAGAGATTCACACTACTGACGACTGCTAATGAACCTGAGATATGACGCGAGACATGACGTCACTTGCTGACAGAAGAATTGTACAGACGACAGTTACAAGAAAGGTAGGATGAGCAGAGGCTTGTATTTATATGTCCTGATGCCGCAGTTCGCGGGAGAGCAAAGTCTCTGAGCTTCATGTTGGAGGAAAGTAATTATCTTACCGTCGAGTACAGTGATTGTAATATATTGATTTCATGGACACACATTATATCTGTGGATAATTGTTGAATAAATTTATTAGTATTGCCTGTCAACGACGTGTTCTCAAATGTAGAAGTTTCAACAGTTGACCTTGTTGGTGGCGTTTTTCTGCCTGTTGTTGGTTTTGACATTTGTAGAGTCATAAGTGACTTGGACTTGTTAGGGCATGGACCTGGGACGACATTTTATGGAATAATCTATGCACAGAAGATCACCATGCAGTGGGAACACATATCGCCGTACAATCTGTGTGGCTAACATTTCACTAACCCACATCATATACTAACCCACATCATATACTTCACCACAATCAATTTCACATCTCACTACAATAAAACACATCTTTCACATCTCACCACAATCTAACCACAGTTTTTCACATCTAAGTACAATAATGATTTTTAAAAAAAAAGACCAAAAAATGCAAGTGGAAAGAACTGTCACCTGTCTGTGCTGGGGGCATCAAGCGTGGACAAGGTTGGGCTCACATCTCTCACATGAATCTGTGCAGGAAGAGAAACAATCATAAAAACTAGATTTTGCTGGACATGTGATCTCTAGAAACATGACATCTTAGCATTGTCTAAAAAAAAAGGATCTGACAGCAAAATGTCCTCATGCAGCCTGGAAGTATCAAATGTCACCACCACTCCTGTGATTTGTGCAGTGCCTCCACTGAGCCAGGTCTATTGCTGAAATCGTGCAAGCATGAGCCAGGTCTGTTGCTGAAATCGTGCAAGCATGAGCCAGGTCTGTTGCTGAAATCGTGCAAGCATGAGCCAGGTCTGTTGCTGAAATCGTGCAAGCATGAGCCAGGTCTGTTGCTGAAATCGTGCAAGCATGAGCCAGGTCTGTTGATGAAATCGTGCAAGCATGAGCCAGGTCTGTTGCTGAAATTGTGCAAGCATGAGCCAGGTCTGTTGCTGAAATCGTGCAAGCATGAGCCAGGTCTGTTGATGAAATGGCGCCTACTCTAATGAGACAAGCTGCTCAACAAAAGTGTTGGTGGTGTTGGACACTGGTGAGTGGCTGAATGGTTTTCTTCAGTTGTGCACTGCAGATCTACCAATCAACTACTGGTGGCAGCCCTCCAGTGCTGCACGAGCCAAACCCACACAGTCAACAGAATAATGGAGACCAGTAAAGATAAAAGGCAGAAGAAATAAGGAAGCCCAGGCCAACAAAGCAAGGACACAGAACATACAAATGGAGGATCATCAAACAGAAGAGTACAAACTATGCACTCACCACACTATCAATAGTGTCTGCCCTGTGTCGTTCACCATCTGGTCCTGTAACAGAGTGAAGACCAACACATGAGAGCACACACAAAAGACAAAACTCACCACACATATATAACAGTACAAGTGTCTCACCACACACACTAGTACAAGTGTCTCACCACACACATAACAGTACAAGTGTCTCACCACACACATACCAGTACAAGTGTCTCACCACACACATATAACAGTACAAGTGTCTCACTACATACACATATACCAGTACAAGTGTCTCACCACACATATATAACAGTGCAAGTGTCTCACCACATACACATATACCAGTACAAGTGTCTCACCACACATATATAACAGTACAAGTGTCACACCACACACACTAGTACAAGTGTCTCACCACACACACTAGTACAAGTGTCTCACCACACACATAACAGTACAAGTGTCTCACCACACACACATATACCAGTACAAGTGTCTCACCACACACACATATACCAGAACAAGTGTCTCACCACCACACATATACCAGAACAAGTGTCTCACCACACACACATATACCAGAACAAGTGTCTCACCACCACACATATACCAGAACAAGTGTCTCACCACCACACATTTACCAGAAGAAGTGTCTCACCACACATATAGCAGTACAAGTGTCTCACCACACACACACATATACCAGAACAAGTGTCTCACCACACACATATAGCAGTACAAGTGTCTCACCACACACACATACCAGAACAAGTGTCTCACCACCACACATATACCAGAACAAGTGTCTCGCACACACACACACACCAGAACAAGTGTCTCACCACCACACATATACCAGAACAAGTGTCTCACCACCACACACACCAGAACAAGTGTCTCACCACCACACATACCAGAACAAGTGTCTCACCCCCACCACAAGTGTCTCACCACCACACACACCAGAACAAGTGTCTCACCACCACACATACCAGAACAAGTGTCTGACCACCACACATACCAGAACAGGTGTCTCACCACACACATACACCAGAACAGGTGTCTCACCACACACATACACCAGAACAGGTGTCTCACCACACACACACACACACAAGAACAGGTGTCTCACCACCACACATACCAGAAAAAGTGTCTCACCACCACACATACCAGAAAAAGTGTCTCACCACCACACATACCAGAACAGGTGTCTCACCACACACACACATACCAGAACAGGTGTCTCACCACCACACACACCAGAACAAGTGTCTCACCACACACACACACATACCAGAACAGGTGTCTCACCACCACACACACCAGAACAAGTGTCTCACCACACACACATACCAGAACAAGTGTCTCACCACATACACACATACCAGAACAGGTGTCTCACCACCACACATACCAGAACAGGTGTCTCACCACCACACATACCAGAACAAGTGTCTCACCACCACACATACCAGTACAAGTGTCTCACCACACACACACCAGAACAAGTGTCTCACCACACACACATCAGAACAGGTGTCTCACCACCACACATACCAGAACAAGTGTCTCACGACACACACATACCAGTACAAGTGTCTCAGCACACACACACCAGAACAAGTGTCTCACCATACACACATACCAGAACAAGTGTCTCACCACACATACCAAAACAGGTGTCTCACCACACACACATACCAGAACAAGTGTCTCACCACACACACATACCAAAACAAGTGTCTCACCACACACACACACCAGAACAAGTGTCTCACCACACACACATACCAGTACAAGTGTCTCACCACACACACACACCAAAACAAGTGTCTCACCACCACACGCACCAGTACAAGTGTCTCACCCCCACCAGTTACAAGTGTCTGACCACACACACACACCAGAAAAAGTGTCTCACCACCACACATACAAGAACAAGTGCCTCACCCCACACATATACCAGTACAAGTGTCTCACCACCACAACATACAAGAACAAGTGTCTCACCACCACACATATACCAGTACAAGTGTCTCACCCCCCACCAGTTACAAGTGTCTGACCACACATATACCAGTACAAGTGTCTCACCACCACACATACAAGAACAGGTGTCTCACCCCACACATATACCAGTACAAGTGTCTCACCATCCCACACATCTACCAGTGTAGGAGCCACACTTAGACCTAACCTTAAAGCACTCAACAGACAGCACAAAGACAGCCATCAGCCAGGCAGCTAACTGAGCTATGCCTTGTACTTCCCAAATGTATCACAGAGAAGATGGAACATGAAAAACACAGACAGCCATCAGCCAGGCAGCTAACTGAGCTATGCCTTGTACTTCCCAAATGTATCACAGAGAAGATAGAACATGATAAACAAAGACAGCCATCAGCCAGGCAGCTAACTGAGCTATGCCTTGTACTTCCCAAATGTATCACAGAGAAGATGGAACATGATAAACACAGACACAGCCATCAGCCAGGCAGCTAACTGAGCTATGCCTTGTACTTCCCAAATGTATCACAGAGAAGATGGAACATGAAAGACAGACAGCCAACAGCCAGGCAGCTAACTGAGCTATGCCTTGAAACTTCCCAAATGTATCACAGAGAACTAGAACATGATAAACAAAGACTAGCTCATCAGCCATTACAGCTAACTGAGCTATGCCTTGTACTTCCCAAATGTATCACAGAGAAGATGGAACATGATAAACACAGACACAACTCACACAATATCACATGCATGTCCAGAAACTGTCAGACAGACACCTATCGTGTAGAACTAAAATGTCAAACATCTACTAGCTCACAAATATTACACCCACATTCTCTTCCTCCTCGTCTTTATGTCCCCTAGTGATTGTGCACAAAAGCATATAAAAACTCCATCTGTGGTCCATGTCTATTTGTGGCACCAAGGTGACTAAAAACTCCATCTTTGGTCCATGTCTATTTGTGGCACCAAGGTGGCCAGGGCAACTGACCTGATATCAGCACATGCCTGTGACGACGGCAGCATGGCCAGGGCAACTGACCTGATATCAGCACATGCCTGTGACGACAGCAGCATGGCCAGGGCAACTGACCTGATATCAGCACATGCCTGTGACGACGGCAGCATGGCCAGGGCAACTGACCTGATATCAGCACTTGCCTGTGACGACAGCAGCATGGCCAGGGCAACTGACCTGATATCAGCACATGCCTGTGACGACGGCAGCATGGCCTGGGCAACTGACCTGATATCAGCACATGCCTGTGACGACGGCAGCGCTGTTTTCTCTGCAAGCTGGGTGAAGATGTGCATCTGTGACCACAGAGTGTGCAATAGGCAAACACTACAAGACATGGTCAATCTGTTTCCATCTGTCACTGTCAGACAATGCACTCCTACAAATGACAAGACCACTGATCAATGGAGACAGTCATCAAACTAAGGCTATAAATACTTTCAGACCACATGAGTTTAACAAAGAAGTCACGGATGTTAACCCTATGTCCATCATTCAAGTGTTACAGAGAATTTATTGCATTCACTTTGCATCTAGATGTTATTAATTTAGGGTACCCAGAGAAAAACTATTAAGTCTTAAATCAACTGAATAGATTTCCCACTATTATATGTCTACACAGATATGCAACATAACATATTGTTTAGTTAAAATGATTAAGCTAGCCATCTGTCAAAAGACACAGACACAACATAAACAACACTGCAACAGAATGACAGGTAAATACTACAGTCACATGGACAAACACACAATTATAGCAACACCTATGCAGAAACAAGGTCCACTGGATTAGGTGTTTGCAGCTGCTTAGTTAACGCTCTGTCACATCCACACAGTAACAATTGTTACACACACGTTAACTAGGTCAAATGACTAGAATTTTACTACTAAAATCGCTCATGTGTAAAACACTGACAGAGATTTAAAAAACATCTTTCTACCATAGAGATAGCCTATATGAAGGCTGGCTTAAATCAATAGATTATTATAATTAATAACCATTTGTAATGTTACACAAATCAAATGTCAAATTGTTACAATCTGTCCATAACCTATTCTCTTAAACCCTAGCCATAGACAAACCAAATTTAACGATAGCTCAACCTTGTATCAAAGTGTTAAAATACAACGGTGATGGACCCTTTATGGTAACCAAATTTAAAACTTTGAATCAAACTATAAAATATTACGGTGAGGTAGCCCTACAAAACCCAAATGTAACTTATCAAACTCAAAATCCTAAGGCCACACATGGACACCGCACATATACTTTGAATGGAAAGCAATGTTAAACTTTGGATCAAATGGCTAAAGCTCTACATGAAACCAAATGTGATCTTTCATGGAAACAATTAAAATTCCAAAGTAACAAACCCTTACAGAAAAAAATATAAACTGGATCTAATGCTAAGGTCAGTTTCCATTCTTGTCCTCTACCTCTCCTAAGCATTCACTGACTGAACACTCCAACAGACAGTTCTGGTTGTTCATCCACTTCTATCACTTTGGTCTTATTCCACAACTTGAGTTCTGTGTGCACGCCCATTAAACAGATCTGGCACTCTGACTTTGAAGAAAACCCTCTAATTAGTCGCCTTATACGATTTGCTAGCTAGCGGGGATGCATGTTTACCCCCCCCCCCCCTCCCCTAACATTAATGTGGTATCAACTGTTAAAATATTAAGGTGACGAATGCTTATGGAAACATAAACGTGGGATCAAATTCTACAGTATTACAGGCAGATGGAAATAAAAATATAATTTTTTATCACATCATTTAAACATAAGGGCAATCTTATTGATCAAATCATTCAAATTTTAGGGCGATATATCCCTACAGAACCCAAATGTTATCTCTGGATCCAACTGTTAAATGACACAGCCACTTGAAAATACAACTAGTTAAAAAATACAACAAATGTTAACTGTGGATGAAATGGTTAAAACATGACAGTAATGCCCTGTCTGCAAACATCCCCACACACACACACACAAAAACAAATGTCAACAGAATGTTAGCAATCTGGTGCAGTGGTTAAA